AACGAACCGGTATGCACAATTTATATTGTTACGTGGGCAAATGTTATGATATTATTTCGTATATTTTACTTATTTACATTGTCGAAGCATACACAATAAAAACGACCCCGGTAAGATTTTACTCCCGATATTTAGCATTGTTGCCGTTAGCTCTCAGTTAAATTTGTAAATGAGACATCTTTAATTGAAATCTGTGTGACTAACTTAAATTATAACAAGTTATAATTTACATACCCGTAGCATGTACGGGACATGCATATTATTTCTTTAATTTGACATATTATTATTGCGTCAGCGTATTTTCTACATCGCAATAATAAACATTCGTTATAATTCTACTTGCGTAATCATTTTATTAGAATTCTAAAAGTGTATATGCATTATCATACAGATTGAACCAATTTAAAACGGATCATACAATTTAATATATGTCTGTTTGAACTGCATTTGAAATAGTGGACCAATATAAAACTTGGACAAAAATAAATCCATACCTGGGTTTAGACATTGTATAAAATATTGTTCAACTATCTGTCTCGCAACAATGTTACAATGTTGTTTGCGTAAAGGAAGCGATAATAGTTCAGGAAATGAAGTTCGAAAAAAGTTAAAAATTTTAGCAAAAGGTAGGTGATAGCCCAAGGATCAAAATCTATATCGAACCGAAGTGCGCTGAAGGGTTTTAGGGGTGAAAACTACCCCTAATTGTCAAAAATTATAAAATAACATGTTAAACCTGAATATGGCTAAGATTTGGTTTGTATTAGGTAAATAATGATTATTTTATACTTTTGAATAGAGTTCCATCATATTTCAACCCTTAAAAAGCAACCCTTGTTAGAGATTAATGTAAAAAAATTACTAATTCTAAAAAATGATTTCGCTTTGGATCGATTTGGATAAAAATTTGGATTTAAGCTCAATTCACCCACTGCTTTATAGTTTATGTCATATCGACGAACCCTGATTGTTGTTAGGGGTGAAAACTACCCCTAGTTGTCAAAAATTATAAAATAATATATTAAACCTGAATATGGGTAAAATTTGGTTTGAATTAATTAAATAATAATAGTTTCATGCTTTTGAATAAAGTTCCATCGTATTTCAACCCTTAAAAAGCGACCCTTGTTAGAGATTAATGTAAAAAAAGTAATAATGCGAAAAAAATTATTTCGCCTTGGAACGATTTGGATAAAAATTTGGAATTAGCTCAACTCACCCTCTGCTTTATAGTTTATGTCATGAACCCTAATTGTTCTTAGTGGTGAAAACTACCCCTAATTTTCAAAAATTGTAAAATAACATTACAAATCCTAAGATGAGTGAAATTTGGTTTGGATTAGTTAAATATTGATTTTTTATACTTTAAAATACAATTTCATACATTTTCAACCCTTAAAAATCAATTGTTATGAGTGCTATGGGTGAAAACAAGTTTTTGCCAAAATTTTGCAACTTTTCAACTTTTGAATATCACCCTTTATAACATTGCAGTTTTTATAAACTAATTTAATAGATATAAATTGAAAAAAGTAGAATTAAATACAAAAAAAATTATCAACGTAAAAAGGCACATATATTCTTATACATGTACATAAAGAGTTGAAAATATTTACATTTATAACAACAACAACAAAAGTTCATCGGGTGCAGGTTGTTTGTTTATGCGTACGGGTAATAACAAACCATCTTTGAAATACCATCCCCAATCTGTTGCTCTGATATTTTCATTGCCAAGACATAGACATATGAGCAGATGTTTTATTCTGTTGTATGGGATTTCAAAATTAGAACTCTTAAAATTTCGAATGTATAACGCCCCACTACCTAATATACCGGTTTTGTAGATTATTATGCTCCGAAATGTACTGTACTATAATAATAGAATTTTCCGGAAAAAAAAATTAATTGCTTTTTTTAACGTATTTCCTTCACTTTTAACGATAGAGTGTTTCTTCGAAAACGGTTTTGTAGAGTTAAATCTTTTTGGAACCCTTGGTTTTTAAATGGGGTGAATTTAAAGTTTAAAATCGATGCTTTAAATGGCTATATCTCGCCAAATATTCATTGTACAACAAATCTAAATAAAGGAAAATTTTAGTCATTAAAAAAGCTACAATCTAGTACATTTTTATTTTTTTCATATATTCAGAATTTTCGGGGATATTTAAAAAAATAAGGGTAAAAAATATGAAATTGTAAATCGTTTCTCGCTTTATGCTGTACTTTTTCTAAAACTAAGCATTTTAAATGGGTCAAACTTCTTGGACGTATTAACAATATATGTACAAAGAGAATTGCAGAAGGGTAAAGATCGATTTTAATTATGGGGGTGGTTAGGGGGTTGTTTTCATCGATTTTTTCGTAAAAAAATGAGGTATTGACCTTATTTTCATCATAATTCACTCAATTTTTGAGCTAGAGTCTTTTTTTATGATAGGTCTATTTATGCTCTTTTAAAAAGGTTCTGTGAGTTTTCTTTCAAAAATGCATCATTTTCCCGATATTGGACTTTGAATCTTTCAAATTTGGCATTTGAAGAAAATCGCTGAACATTGATAGGCCGTATTTCGGTTCCTGTTATATCGCAAAAACATTTTAAAAAATGAATTGTATTGTTCTTTTTAAAAGCTACAAATTTGTTTTCTACAATTTTTTTGATAAAATACACCATTTTCGAGTTATTCGCGAAAAATCGATTAAAAACCTCGATTTTTTCGTCTAAAAGTTGTTACTTTCAATCGCGAATAACTTGAAAATTATCAGTTTTACAAAAAAATGTATAGAACATTTTTTGTTTAGAATCACGTTTTTAATCGAAACGTTGGTTCGATATAGATTTTGATCCTTGGCTATCACCTACCTTTTGTTAAAATTTCAAGTCAATCTATGCAGGATGAAAAAATTGCGAGGTGAAATGCTTCATTTCCTGGACTATAAGTGGTTTGACAGCATAATAAAATCGTAGATTTATGTGTAGCTTTCAATTTTTATGATTTCAGAATCCAGCAGCCCGCTGAAGTATTGGATTTTTATAATATAAATATTTGCTTTTGTTGGTCAACCACCTATAGCAGAATTGAGCCGAAATACATAATATTTCGTATGTTCCGAATTTATTTCGATCAATCTGTATACGACGTATCTACATTGCCTAATTTCCCCATTTATCGTATTATGTTACTAAATATCTACATGCCAACTATGCCGGCAAATTATTTATTGCAACAAACACGTATTTTCTACTTCTTACCCCTAGTTTCAACCCTATTACGACAGTGTGTACTTCTTCTATACTTAAACTTCTTGTACATCACCCCCTACATCCCCAGAGGGTTCTTCTACGGCCTGAACGCCACATACTTAGTCATCAAACTGTCCGCCATCTTGGATCTAAAATTCTCATATCTCCTCTACTATTAAACTTTTAAAATTAACTTTTTCTCAGAAATAAACTTCGAATCTTGTTATTGTGTTTCGTTCTGTTTAGTGCCGTAAACACAATACGTAGAATCAGTTCCGGGGAGTATTGTATTTGTAACAATATGATTCATGCAATGCATGACTCGATGTATGACCTCTTCGAAATCATTGAATATCCTTCTGAAATAAAAAGAATATACTATACCCTAGCCGCTTAAAACATGGAATCCAAGGTCGCATGATCGCTGAATGCAAGCATCGACAGTCGGTCAAAACTAGATCTTCTGAGAAACTGTTTACACCGTCCGTCATTATATTATTTATCTATGGTCATTATTAATTTGTGTTTCACTTTCGCTGATGAATTTTGTTGGCAGTGTTAAAAATTGTTTGTAGAGTTCACGCGTTCGTATATTAATTTGTATTTGTATTTTTTTGTATTCTTGTGAATAAAGATATTCTATTCTATTCAAACGAATCGCATTCCATCAAATTTATAAAACGAATTTATCTCTTAATTTTATTTAAAGTTTACTTTTGACATATTTATATACGCAAAAGCCAATAAAATGTTTAAATTTAATGTAAATCAATAACCTATAAAAGACGGTATAAATATATTATAGCGAGAGTATTAGTTCGTTTTTGTTGAGCAGTGTAAACGTGGGAAAAGAGATAACATAGGGGAAGGAATATTTAAGAGTGCGTGCCATTCACGTGATCATTCCATCTTTTCAGCGGCTCAACTATAATTTGAGTATTTTACATATTTGGGTATTATAGTCGATACATTATTAATATGAATGAAAACTTATTTTATAAATAGATATATTTTATTATTGTTATTATTATAAGCAGAAATATAGTATTCTACTATTACAACGTCAGTGACCAGCAAGAAAACATTTTTTGCTATTATAGCCACCAATAATCGAATTCACAATTTCCTAGAATTCATGAGGCACATGATTTCAGCTACATTTCATCATTTACGGGTCGTGATTTCGGATGACTAATTTCATTAAATTTGGAATTGTGAAACTTTCCAGGAAAACTTCATTAGATATAAAACAAATCGTCATTTTGTTTATAATCAAAATTAAAAGTTCCGATACATCTCTTTTGTTGTAGAAATATCGAAAGTAGGTATATTGCTTTAAAATTAGAAATCGAAATATTTAAACCGAACCGAGATATGGCGAGTTAAATATAACATTTCAATAAAATTATCTTTGCTTTTATCCTGTTTATTTATATATCCTCCACTCCAATCATAAAATTTTATTTAGGGCAGATTTTTATTGCGTACGTTTATTACCAAAGCATAGTTTTATAATGGTCGGCTTTAAAAATCCTGTCAGTCGAAATTCAACCTTTGAGTGGGTAACAACAGGTATTTATTATACCTGTGACCGCGATCAAAATACAAATCGTTGACTTCGATATCCCTCGAGAGTGCATGCTTTCTACGCAATTGCGCATTTTACTTAAATTAGTCTTTATCCCTACTTTGCTTTTTTGTGGAGAAGGCGAGAAGGAGAAGCTATATTGCCGCGCTGTATCTGTTGGTTTGTTTTGTTTTGTAAGGTCGTACGGACACCGAACAACATACGGAGTACAATATTTATTGGTTCAGGAACTGGCTGGGGAGTTTACAAAAAATTATATTTTAGTTAATAAAGTCGATTATGGATATCAGCACGGCTAAATGCAGACTTTGTTTATCACAAAAGGACCTAGTTTTAGTGTTTAATTGTGATGATGTAGGACATAAAAAAATGAAGGAGTTAATATTGTTGACAACTGGAGTTGAAGTATGTAAAATTTAATATATTTCCTCTTTTAACCTCTTAGGTTGCTTTACAAATTTTTAAGAACATGCATGAGGTAGATAATTCCAAGCATGAGGTAGATTATTCCAAAAAAAATACAAATTGACATAAGTAGGAAGTAGCGAACGTTTGCAACATTTGGTCCCAGTGAAGATAGGCTCAAATTAGCTGTCACAGAACGAAATATTGCGTTGGCAGTGTTGCCATGTCTTTATAACGTATATGTTATATGCTTCAAATACAAAGATAAAGCTTTTAAAATGTACATTTTTATTATATTATTTTATGGATTCTGCAATTTTGTACCTTATATAAAACATTAATGAATTAATATTTGTTTCGTTTGACATTAATTGCAATTAATTATTAGAACATTTTCTTGGCAATTGCCCTTTGATAGGTTAGCGGATAGATTTGGCAATAGAGTCTGAACCTTTAAACTACCAGTTGCCAGATTACAACAGATGTCTTTTTACCTTTAATATTTATACTGACATTTAGTATTTACATTTTTTAAAAACTGTTTTAAAACTATATACTTTTTCTTTTTTTGGTAATTGTTAAGTATTAATTTTTAAATAGCTTTGCTTTTGATTGCGAATGTTTTATTTGTAATGTAAATTTCAACACTGTCAAACACCAATATTTCATTCTATCAAACCCATTTGAGGCTATCTTCACTGGGACCAAATATGAAAAACGTCCGAAAGTAGCTAAATTTTTAAATCTTGTGCAGTTGCATGTTATTTATTTATATTTTGTATGTGCGATATAAGCTTAACTTACCTAAATGTACGACGTTTAGAAATCTTGTCAACCCTAAAATCTAGCCTAGCAACATTGTAGCAGAGGAGATTTAAGTTTGCTTTATTATATTTGCACATTTAAGTGGTATTGTAGCGATAGAAAATTTCGTCATTCTCGGCAGTGTTGCCATATTTCCTGTGTAATCGAATAAGATGACGTCACGTTTATGTCGTGTTGCCATATACTTATTCTGTTTGTCATTATTTTGTCAAAACAAAAGAAAGAATATTGCGAGGTCAATCAAATCTATAGCTCTTACCTTTTTTGACTTTTCGATTTGGTCGGGTTCACGATATTATCACTTTTGTGTGAACGCATTAGATCCTCCAACGCACCAACACGAACGCGCACACATATACATTTGATTGAATTTATCTTCTTCTAAATACATCTTCGACTTCCTTAGGAACACACCTACATTGTTTAGACAGAGAGTGATTGTAATATAAACTTTATTGAATAGTAATAAAATTCAAATTGACTCTACATTTAGTTAGAAATTATTTGTATGGGAAAAAGAAAAGAGCTTTTTAGAGTTTTTCCGAAAATTATTTGAATTTTTCATGCCGTAAAAACCATACTTAGACTTCATTTAACTCCTTTTATACACATATAAAATAAAAATATATATATTTTCACTAAAATATTAATTCAATCCTTCATTTACTATACTCCTATTACAGGTGAAATTTTTAAAAACAGCAAACGATGCACCATATACCTATAGGTATACCTAATTCTTTTTCTCTTTTTGCTCTCTCTTACTTATAGCATTACATATGTAATGATTGTGCAGATTGAACAGATAACTTCTACCGGCTGTCCCACTGGACTGCCACACCTGTTTTTTTTTCATATGAAATTGTCTTTTATCGTCTACACGGCAACGCAACCGTAAGAAAATTTCATTTTAATTCGGGTATATTCGTTTGACATGGTGCATTGCACAAATATACGTTCTATGAGCATATTAGATTGATTATATGAAATTTCTAGATCTGTATTCTATACCAACGGTTAAAAGTATGTTTTTTTTGAAGAGATTTATATTTTTCTTTGCATTTTATTATTTAAAATGTAAATCAATGATACTAAACCTAACCTAACGTAACCAAACCTAACCAAATCTAACCTAACTTTTATTTTTCATAAGAAAACATATTTTGTATAACTATGGCAACACTGCATTGGTTAGAATTAGAATAAGCTTCTTGATCATAAGAAATAGTTGGCGTTCCTGTCATTTCTTGCTGTTTCATGGTAAATAATGGCGGATAATAGCGGGGGCTTTTAAAAATAAGACATTTTAAATGGAAGTTCCGTAGAAAAGAACGTTTTCCAAAGAATAAAAATTTTTGTATAATCATCAGGAAGTGAAGCAGTATTCGTTGATATAAATTTCATCTCCACAGACATCGTTCCGTCTTACTACACTAGTACCGAAACTTCAAATTAATGTAACGATTATTTTGCCTACCACATAGGGTATTATGGAGTGGAGATAGGGCAAGCAAAATAAAAGGAAACTGTTGCGAACGGCTACTCAGGGCTAATTTGGATAACTGGGTCGTGGACAAGTTAATGGCAAGGGGGCTGGAATTGGGGCAACTACAAAAATTGAACAAAAGGGGTACCTATATGAGTCTCCTGGACAAACAAAACACAAGAAGGTTCTCAAGCTATTTAAAATGGCTGCTTCTTTGAAGAATCTTCCTGGTGGATATAAGAAAAGGCTCTCTCTTCCTATAAACACAAAAAACTTTTCTAAAGGAAATAAACAAAATGGTTTAGGGAAAAAATTACACATTTATTGTTGTATCACCACAAACAGTTACTAATATAGTTCCATCCATTTACAAACTCTGGAGGTTGGAGATACTACAAAACTTATAATTGTTGATGGGCGACAATTTGTAACGAAAATAAATTATTACAAATGAAAAAATATCTTTTTAAGTGAAACTATGCATAGAGGTTAACCTTTTTCTAAAAATAAAACAAAGCAAAACAAGATATGTTATGATTAGGTATTTACCAAATGTCAAAAAATAAAGCTATCTGTTAGATGTCAATATTAAATTTTAAAACTGAGAACAATTAATATGACAGCTAGGCCACACCCTAACATCTACAATTTTAATTATTACAATTCCTTAAACTCTTACGAAAATAATTATTCTTAGAAAATACTAATTTTTCCTTTAAAAGTTCAACAAAAAAAGTTACCTGGATTTCACTAAAATTTCTTTAAAATTTCTGGGGTTAGGAACTGGACTTACACTGTGGACAATCACAAATGTACCTCCAAACTGCAGAAATATTCTGAAACGGCTTAGAACAAACAAAATAAGGCTGGAAGTTGTTCACTGGGACGCAAAATTTAACACTCGGCTTCTTAAAAACTGGAATACAACTGGACATAGTGGTTATCCTTCAAAGTTGTTTTAAACGCCATTAATCTCTTAGATACTTAGAAACATAAAAAAAGTGATTACTCTTTCAAAACTGACACATTACATTGAGTATAAATCACATTTTCAGAATAAATTTGTCGCTTCTTAATGATGACACTCGCTTGCGTCTTTTCTATTCAAAGATTCTACCAAACCACCACTGTAGCTACACTTTGAAAGCCTCTCCACGAGAGTGATGTAATTCTCTTCAAAAATCATTTGCGAAACTCGGTATAAACAAAACATATAAACGGGAATATTTATTTAACGCGCAATATTAAGCTGCTTAACGATCAAAGAAAATACCAAGGAAATACGCATCTGTGATATATAAAGAAACTTTAAAATGTGTTTATCATCGACTCCAATGATGCAAAAGGATTGAAAATATTTTTCGGTGTTTTAACATATACGGGGTGATTTCAATACATAAGAGAGAATATAAAAATGCTACACAACTCAAATCACTTGTACCACATATATTGAACGGACGTACATATCAATTTAATTGCAGCATCATAAAATGCAATATGATTATTGATATGAATTATTGTTCAATCGAATGTAATAATTGTTAGTAACAAATATTACGTGTTTTACATAATTTTATTCCATTGTATATATTTTTGCTCAAAATGTAGGGTTATGTAATTAATCGTTTAGCTAAGCGTGATAAATGCGAATATATTAAAGCTAATTGGCAAGAATCTTATAAACATAGAAACATATTTTAAATATAAGACATAATATAAGAATGTATTTTAACCTCGTCTCATTGTGTAATAAATTACACAATTGACTGCCCAAGCCAACAAAGACACATGAAACCCATAACCGATAACGCATGGATTTGCTGGCGCCAGTAGCTATGCCAATCGACGGTTGCATGCCAGTGATGGTTTATACTATACTAAAAGCCACAGTTAGAATGCAATGTTGGTGTTACGGCGCGCAGCAATGCCGCTCATTACGGCATAGTGGTATAGTCAGAATCCAGAAATCTAGGCAGTAAATTCTTGGAAGTAATAGTGACGGTTCATTGCCATTGTAAGTCTTTCAATGGCGTCTCAAATTTATTAAAAATTCTTTGTAAAAGATATATATTTAGAACCCAAACGGGCTAAGTTAAAAAGACAAAACGTTTTCGGAATCCATATTCCATCATCAGTGTCTAAGAGTACATGAATGTAGCCACTAAATATATGGGTAAAAATCCGTTAACAAATAATTAATTACATTTAGTTTACAAATTTTCTTATAATGGTTTAAGATGTTAAAGTTACCGTTACCGTTACCGTATGTTTATATGTACCTACATATAATATGTCGCCATGTTACCTAATCCAACGGTAACTTTAACATCTTAAACCATTATAAGAAAATTTGTAAACTAAATGTAATTAATTATTTGTTAACGGGTTTTTATCCATATATTTAGTGGCTACATTCATGTACTCTTAGAAACTGATGATGGAATATGGATTCCGAAAACGTTTTGTTTAAAATAATTCGACTAATAAGCTATAAAGATATTACGAAGAAGTGAAAGTCCATTATCTTTGGATTACCTGTAGCAAACAAAATTTAAGATATGCATAAATTATTTTCTTTGTAAAATATATTCGAGTGAAATTAGTGAAACAAGACAATGCGAGCGGGTTTTCCAAATGGATTTGTACAGTAATTAGGATAATAGAATAGATGTTTAGAAATATATTTCTC